GAGCTCCTCCAGTCAGGACAGCTTTCTGTCTGATACATGCTGCTAAGACTAGACAAACAAGTATTGTCACAGCTACAGGGCAAGAATTTCCATTATAACTGCGTTTAGTTTTGCACGAAAGTGATCTCTTAGCAGTGTTGGGAACCTTGATGGCAGAAAACAAAGTGATTTATAAGGAATAAAATCGGTGTGCAGGTTTTTGCCTGTCCTGCTGATTCTGTGTTTGCTGTTGGTAGAACAAGAAGCTCTTCTTTACACAAAGGGTGGTGGGGGTGTGGAACAAAGCTGAGAGTTTTAAAAAACAATAGTTTTGTTAGTCAAGCCGCAATTATCTGGTGTAGCGGAATTGTAGATTCGAGAAAAAAGGCACAAAAAGGCAGTGTCTGGTTCTCTCACTTTCAAACGGTACTTTGTGTAGAGACAAGGTGTGTGTATACGTGGATGTCATTCTGTAAAATATGCTCCGAGAAACTTGTTTTTATATCCACCAGTCTCGTTTTTTTTCTTTTTTTGTATGTCATTTCGACCGGCTTACAGGTCACGGTAAAATATGTTTTTTATTAAAGCAATCAATAAATACGCCCGATAAGGACTATAAGGTTTTTTTTTTCTTTTAAAAAAACAACAGAATAAAATAAGGATGTCTTCGGAAACAGAACTGAACTCCCATCAGCTGGGATAACAACACGGCTGAGCGGCTTTTTCCCCAGCCCCACCACCCTCTGGGTGAAGAAGAGCCTCCTGTCCTCCATATTAAATGTTCTTGCAGTATTAAATGTTCCTTGTTCCACTTGTGTCTTCTGTTCGGCTTCACCTGTTTGATCCCTTTGATCAAGTCGTCTGTCGGCCTGACAGACCGGACGTGATTTCGCCCGGATCTAAACCGCAGGGACCACTTCGAGCTGCTTTAGGGATTCACCGTGAGCAAACTGAAGCAGGTGCAGATCTTGACTACTGGGCTGCCTGCAGGTTCACAGCCACCTCTCCTCCCTCGCCTGCGTCTATAAATAAGCGCGCCGCCCTGTTGCCTCCGAGCTCATAGCCGTGTTGAAACCAGAGGTCAGGGCCGCGTGGTTTTGACACCTGTGGAGCACCTCACGCGGACTTTCCTGCATTTTCCGCTCACCCAAGCGTTGCTGGGATCCAGCTAAAAACAACACCTAAGTGCACATGCAGATTAAAAATTCCGTGGAGAAATCTAATCAGTAACTCGCTGAGGAGCGATAGGCTTTTGTTGGTGTGATTTGGATTATTCTCTCGCCCGGTGATTATACGGGTTTTGTACATCAAGGCTGCGTACCTTAATGTTGACTTTAAATACCCTTGTTTTCAAAGTACAATTCATATCTCGAGCATTGAACTTGTCTTTTTACTGTTTCTTTAGGGATATCGCTATTAAATAACGTATTTCCCCACCAATTGTTTTCCAAAACGTGCGATTTAATTGTGATTAAAAAAAAACCATAAACCTACAGAACCGGAGCTCCCTTAGGGCCGGACTGTTATTGACAGCAAGAGCAAGGTCACACGTCCTGTCTGAACTGAGCTCCGCTTCATCTAGCAGAGCTGTGTGTTTGAACAGAAACAGCGCGGAAACACACGACCTGAGGAGACGGACCTCGCTCAACGCGTTTGGAGATTTTACGTTATATAATGGAGATCTTCGCGTTCTGTCCGTTTTAAATGTATGAAGGAGAGGTCATACGGATACCGCCCAGCGAAACGCGAATTGGAGCCCGTCGTGGTAAAAAACAAACGAGTTATTATAGGCTGTAGTATTCCCAAACAGACCACGACTGGTCGTGCAGCTTGTTCCCGGCAGAATGTGAGGTCTGTCGCTCTGTGCGACATCGTCCCCCAGTTCCTGCAACAGAGAGGCGCTCTGCAGCCCAGTAAGAGGACCTTCCGCATCCTAAAAACCTACCCGTTGGATTCTGATTGACGGTCATAAACCATGAAACTCCGTGCGGGCCAACCAGTACGCCGCCATTCCAGGGGAAAGCTCAAAGCGAGTCCGTGTCCGATTGGCGAGCACGTTTCTGCCCACGGCCCTGGAATAGGAAGTGTGGAAGTGGGTTACATTTGCTTCGTAATTGGAAGATTTCTCCAATCCACCTCCCCCCAAGGCAATAAAGAGAGACTTAAAGGTAGAATCGCCTTGTGGTTTTTTTTTTTAATGATTTTTAGTCCTGTTGATCGTAACTTCTATTGGACCTTAGTTTTGGTCCTATAAAACATGCACTTCAGGCTGGGCTCTTGATAAAACTGCAGCAGACGGTCGCGGTGCGTTGACATACTCTTCCAGGATGGATGTTGAAGGGCAGGAGCTGAAGACTATCGGCAGATCTGCTACTGTATTACAGCTGTATTACCTCCGAGTCCGGTTTGTTGTTAATCTCTTAGATCAAGAAAACTTTGTTGGGTATTTATTTTCATTAATAACAGGAAGTTGGTGTCCAAACCATCAACATTTGCTCACCAATAACCTCCAAGGTCAAAGTTACCGAGTTTAAAATGGGTTCAGAAGAGCTTGACGATGTTTAACAGATACAGTACATGTACACATAATAGATATAGCTTACTTTTTATTGTTGTTCCTTTTACCAAAAACACCCTTAGGGTCATATCTAAATACACTTTTAGGAAAAACATTTTAAAAAGCAAATAAATCCCTCCGTCAGGTCATTAAGCCCTTTGAGAAGGAGTTAACTGGTTTATTTTTAACTGAAGCCAGTGTCAGTGAGAGGCACAGATGAGGCTCTGTCTTTCCTGTGTGCCGTCGGCCAGAGTCTAGTAAGCTTGTTGTCCTGGTTTGTGCTTCGCTCTGCTCTGAGCTCGAACGCCTACAGTTTCCCTGCGGTCAGTGTGAGCCCTGCCTGAGCACAGACACCTCCGAGAGCAGCCAAACTGCACAGCTCCTCTCTCTGTGCTCATAGTTCACACCCCTGAGCTACTGCAGGACCCTGAGTCTGGGGGTCTGTACTCTCTCAGCCACAAGCACTTCCTCCTACTTCAGAGGGACCAGATGAACAGCTCAGACAGAGGCCAGGAGCTCAGTCTGCTGTCACCCATTAGAAACTGCTCCTTCAGTTAGTGAGTCTGCAGGTGACTATTCATTAGAACCTTTAAACACTTTACATCATTAAGTTCAGGTGGGGTAGCTGCGTCAGCATGCGTAGGCTGCAAAGGAACAAGTAAAGGTTTATTCCTGTGCTCAGAAAAAGAAGAAAAACAACGTTTCAGCTGTGGAGCCTTCTTCAGATGCAAAGGCTCCATCTCCGAAATGTTGTGTTTTTCTTCTCTTTTCAGCACAGGAATAAACAGGGTTTAGTTTGATGACAGGAATGAAAGTCCTCCAGTTCTGCTGACATCCAGCTGTGTCTTGACAGAAGTCAGGTTATCAGTTTCAGCAACAAGGCTGGCCACACTCCCACCACACTTTGTGTAAAGCAGCACCTGCTGTAGTCTAAACACAGCCTGCAATCCATCACTACACAACTGTAGTGTAGACAGCTGTGTTCCCTCACATGGACTTGTACTCCCTCTCCCCGAGTGCTAATTACTCATTCACACCAGCTGACTCTCCAGCTCCACTTAGCTGGGAGCCATCTTGGCTCAAGGCCACACTACAGAGCCAGTGCTTTGAGCCAAGATGGCGTCTTTCTCACACAGCCACACACTGCAAAGTCTACAAGTTTAAGCAAGCATGTTCTGTTTAATAGTTATATGTGTGTAAACATACTACAAAAGCAACTCTTGGCAAATTCTTATTTTAATTTAATAATTCTAAAAAAAAAATGTAACTATGTGCTAATTCTGCCTTTTAGTTGCATGTGTTGTGCGCGTGTACAGCGGTAGGCACAGTTCCTAAATTTGTCCACCTTACCTGCTGCTTGTGCAAAATCTTAGATTGGTTAAGCATATTTTATCAGTACCATGTGTGCACTCAGCAATATTTAACCAAAATATAAAAAAGCTATCTGCAGAAATACTTCCAAATAAGGTCTGATTCAAATGGAGTTTAACTCTTTGGTATTTTTACCTTTTGCAGTAATATACTTTCACCAATCCAGGTCATCTGCAGTTGTAAAGTCCTGCAGCTCTTGCCAGCTGTGTGACGTGAGCTGTAGAGCTAGGAGTCTAGATTAAACACATGGCACAGACACAGTCCAGTATGCTCCCGATCACACGATGTGACCATGTTGATGCTCATTGTCTCTCCGGCCTGTCTGGGATCCAGTGTGTCACCGGTCTCCAGTCTCTTTCCCAGAAGGCAGAATTCCAGAGTCTTTCCAGGAGGCGTTTTGAAAACATGGTGCAGATGCCAGGACGAGGATCATGGGAGTAACAACCAGACCCTCGTCTTGAGTCAGGAGAGCACATACTGGTCCAGGAGTTACAGAGCTGAGTTCAGGACACGGACACACACGGACACACTTTACTGTAACTGTCTTGTCCTGATGCGTCCCGGGACAGCGATGAAGTCTGTAGTCTCACAGTGGTCTACTTCCCGAAAACAGAGTAAAGATTAACTTAGGGTCCAGTTGTACTTCTGAGCAACAGTCTGGATACTTTTTTTCTTAAAGCACAAGAAAACAAGAACAGTTACAGAAGCCCTTCCAGTCTGTTTGGTAGTCAATGCCTAATGGATCTCATCCAGCTGTGTGTTGAGAGAAGCCACATGGCTGGGCAGCTTGTTCCACACCCCCACCACTCTTTGTATAAACAAGTGCCTCCTAATTCTTTTAGTTCCTAGCAAGAAAACGATCATGGGAATATGGTCTATTAAAGACCTCCAACACCGGAACAGTGGATCAATGTTGTGAAAGATGTATATAATGGAAAATATTACCTTTTCTCTTAGGTTACAAGCAGGGAGCGTTAGCAAATGCTTGCAAGACTGGATTGGGTTTGTGGCCCAGCTGAGACCTGATTCTGTTCTGTAAAAGAGGATGAAACGGTTTTGTCTAGAACGTGGGTTATTTGTTGTGTTTTTGCTGATTGTATTTCTAGTTATAACCTCCCTCCTATGCTGGCATAATGTAAATAGTTCATTATTTAAAAAACAATATAATCAAAAAATGAAAGATTAAAGTTGTAAATTGTTTTACTTTGTATTTGTAATATTCTTTCATTTTCAAATAAGAATTTTAAAAAAGAAGTAGTCAGGGTATTGGCTTCAACAACATGGCTGGGCAGCTTGTTCCACACCCCCACCACCCTTTGTGTAAAGAAGCCTGATTAGAGGACAGTTAACAAGTACTATCTGCATGGTTAGTCACTGGGAATGATGCCAAATACCTGTACATTCCTCCTGCAGCTCTCTCTCTTTTCAGGGCTGATGCACGTTCCTGCACCTGTTCAGAAGGAGCAGAAACAGATCTGATCAGACTGTATTCTGACTGTGATGGTACTCCTATGAGAGACGGGAGGAGGAAATTACTGTGCAGGACTTTCACTCTCTGATGTGGGTTTCATACAGACATTCAAGTATCAAGTGTCACTGGAGACAAACTACTGCTATCATCTCAGTTGCCGTATTTAAGAAAGGAAACAATCGATCGTTGGATCTTCTGTCACCAGAGATCTATCCAGATGCTGTTACAGTGAGCAGTACAGTACGGACACGGAGGAGAAGAAAACACAGATTCGCCTCCACTAGTGTTCGGGTTTGGATGGAAACACGGGAGAAATGGGCCTCCTGATCTCCGCAAAAAAGCACGGGGAGTTTCACAGTTTTAGCTGCTTGAAAGGAGAATGTTTTAATTCATTAAATCAATACCCGCCCAGCTTGAGACAGAGCAGTCTGAGAAATGAGCCCGAATTTGTACTTTTCTATTTTAATTGTCCATCATATTGTTCAGCGCTTTGGGATATTGTACGAAATATTTTAATGTCATTGTTATTGACACTCTTCTTGGTCCTGTTCATTATGTGGATTACTAATCGGTAGTTAATTAGAAACACGATGTTGTGTTTTGGACGCTTTCTGCTCCCTGAAACTCCGCAGGTCGTCGTGTGTCATTTAAGACAGAAACCGGAGGTGTTTGAGAAAAGTTCTTTCCTGTAGCTGGAGAGAAAGAGCTCCGCCGGCTGACCCCCACTCTCTCTCGTTATTACGCTATCTGACACCCGACAGCATCAAGAAAAAGGCTCCATACTCACCCGCACAGACGAGCCTGGTGCCGGTTCCGACAGCAACCCGGCCCTGCACCTTCCCGCGCAGTAGAAGAGCCCCAGGTTTGTTCGCGACACGTTCCGGATCCTCAGGTCGATGGAGCCGGTGGACGGGTTCAGCGCCGGAGAGAAGCGGGAGTCGGACGCGTAGTTGAAGTTGACCGTCTCCGCCTGGCTTTTACTGGCCAGGAGCCCCAGAAACACCGTCTCGTCACGCTGGACGAACCACATCACCTCGTAGCCGAGCTGTAGGTCGCAGGGCAGGACCACCGTGTCCCCGAGTCCGACGGGTCTCACCGCGGCGCCGGTACCAGCTGCCTCCCGCACAGCGGTACCTGGAGAGACACGGAAAGGAATCTATCCCTCTGCAGAGAAAGCGCCTCTTATGTAGCTATCACGTTACGTGTACAGAACGTCAGCAAAACAACTCTAAATGAAGTGATTTACCTCGACTAATTAGTAGCCCCCATCGCTGGCTGATACAAGTTCAATAAACAAGTGAGTCAATTAATCAATAATTGTTTCAGCTGAGTCACTGCCAATCATTTTCACCGCGACTACATACAGATCGATATCGACCAAAACCTTCTATCACCTAATGTGGCCTCTTCGCTAAAGTGCAACAGAGGGATCATTACAAATCAAGAGCACTGTTTTAAAAAGTGGTCGTTTCACACGTTAACGCTCTTTGTTTTTATAAGAATCTGAAAAAATGGCAGAGGACAGCAAGTATACATGACGATCACTGCTCCCAAACCGTCTTTGATGTTCGTAACCGCCGCAAACCCGGGATTAGACTGTTTTGACTTTTATCGGTTTTGCGCGTTTTAAGAGCTGGTTATTGTGCAGCCACCTCAGTGTCAGCTTAAGATCTTATTTCAGTATTTTGGTTGAGAAATACCTGCTCCCTGGGTCGGTAGCCGGGACATGAGCGCCACGAGAAAAAATGTCGAGATTTTAAAGCTTTCGAGTCCCGATACCAGCCTCTCTAGTTGACGGTGGAAATGGGCGTCAACTCCGCTTTGTAAAGTTACACTTAGTCAGGCAAGGAAAGCGCCCCTCCGCTAAGGTGAGACTGAAATGCGTGTCTTCGACACACGAAAGCGTACTCACAGATGAAGAAGAGCAGATGAACTGTACCGTGTAGCCCGTTCATCTCAGCCGCTGTTGAGCCAGACTGACGAGGCGCTGGACTCCGGCGGGACTTCACGTCCGGTCACTGGCCAAGAGACTTCACCGCTGCTCTATGATGCCGCAGCTGACCCGCTGTGAGGTGTGGGCGTTTCTAAACTCAGTTCTGTCGTAATTTAAATAAGACCCCGGAGGGGGGGGGGGGGCTGGGGCCCTCCTGGATTCAATTCAGGACTGGGCGTGCTGTCTGTGTGGAGTTTGCATGTTCTCCTTGAGTTTGTGTCGGCTTCTTCTGGGTGCTCTGCTTTCCTCCCACAGTCGAAAGACATGCAGATGGGGGTAAATGGCTTCTGGGCAAACTGGCCCTGGTGTATGCGTTTCCTGTGATTGGAATGACTTCACCATTGGGTAGCACTGGTATAAAACTGGCTTGAGAAAGAGATGCAGAACAGATCCCAGCCTGGGTCCATTTTTAATGGTGAGATTTCCTTTAACATGGGGGAGGGGGTCTTAGACTCACTCCCTGGATGGCTGGAGTCAGTTACACAATTCAACTATTTATTTAATCAGACAGACTTCGGTACCCCTACAGTCACTTTCCTGAGGGGCACAACTACTGAAAAAGGGGCCTTTAAGCCCATTTTACATTATAATTAAACAGTTAATTAAATAATTAGGCCAGCTGTGTGACCGAGAGCTCAACTGGGACAAAACCCGGAAGACACACCAGGAACTGAGAATGATGCCCCGTATTAACACAGGGGTCCCCAACCCCACACACACACACACATAACACAACACAACACAACACCTGCTTGTCATCTCCAGGGCTGACTGATGACTTTTAATAAGCTAATTGTAGGCAGGTTACTATCACCGTCATTATTAAAAACAGGCAGCTTACTTTTCTTTACAAAAGTAATTTGCCCTGGTGCAAATCTGAATATAATTGGTCACTCAGGCCGCTATTGGTTGCAGAAACATAACAGAATGGTAAGTTAGCGTTGCCTCTCTGGAAATCCCATTGTATAGGCAAGAGTGCCACCTGTCGGTTCTGTGCTCCAGCACCACTTACAGCAGAGACCTATAGAAGTGTAAGGAATTATTATCATGAATTCAAAATGCAGCTTCATTTACAGTAAGTTTATGGGGGCATATTAATAAAATAACAGAAGCACACGCTCTGAAAAAAAAAGGATAGCAGCCCAAACATAGACTGCCGGGAACTAATTCTGATTTTGTTTTTTCGGTTATCGATAATGACGGGGCCACTCGGATGAGATGCTTCTGAAAAGCACCGCGTCTAGTTTTAGACCCCACCGCACCCCGCGGACAGATCCCGGCTGTAGAGAGATCTAGTGTCCGATCCTGCTTAACGAGGTAAATGGGAAAACCTGGATTTGTTGTAGAAGCGACGGTCCTGGAGGTTTTCCGTCTTCCTCCCGGAAAGAGCAGATTATATTTTCCCGACGCGACTGGAGACATTACAGATTGCAGACCACGGTTGGTGTTGTCCTGGTGTCTCTTGTAGGGTCTTTAGCAATAATCAGCGAAACAAAAAAGCTAGTCAAATTGAAAAGGCACGCCACCTTCCCATAAACTCACCCTTGTAGTAAATTATGCAACATAACAAAATAACATGATCCAGGAGTCAAGTTTAATTTGTACGAGCTTCGTCACGTGCTCACACTTTCAAGTCAAAATGGCTGCATTTTCAAAACAAAAAACGTATTAAAACAAAATTTCAATTTAAATGACTCCTCTGTTAACGAGTGTCCGTATTGCATCTGGAAGTGTTTTTTTTTTAGCAATGAGAAGTAACTGGGAAAACTAGTGCTATCGGTTCATCTGGCGCACACTTGCGGGGCCTTGGTTATAAACTGCACATGGAGGATTAATAATGTTTTATATCACTTGAACTCCATGAAAGTGTAAAAAAGAAGCTTGATTTCGTTTAGAGAACTGAGTCTGATCCGGGCGAGGGATTTCCGCGTGTCCTGCAGTTCGTAAGCCGCCCTTGCTCACTGGCGTTAGATCCGCGTAAAGGAATGGAATTAGTGAAACTGAAGTCGCTCAGGATAAGAAACGCGCACAACTGTTTCCTCATCAGAGCGTTAAATGTCTCCTTGCTGCGCCTCTAAATGGCAGCGATTCAACAGGGCGCCGCCTGGTGGGATTTTTTTGAAAATGCAGCCATTTTGACTTGAAAGTGTGAGCATGGGATGAAGCTCGTACAAATTAAACTAGACTCCTGGATCATGTTATTTTGGGCCTGTTGCTTCAGGGGTGAATGTGAAAATGCCACTGTGTAGGGAAATGATTTTAAAAAACACTGTCATGTTGCATAATTTACAGGAAGTTTTTAGTTTATAGTTTATGGGAAGGTGGCGTGCCTTTTCAATTTGACTAGCCTTTTTGTTTCCCACCAGGGCGGTGCCCTGTTGAATCGCTGCTGTTTACAGGCGCAGCAAGGAGACATTTAACCCTCTGACGAGTAAACAGTTGTGCGCGTACAATGCCAGCAGGTGAATGCATTTTATTTACCCTCCTAACCTGCTAAACCACTATATATCCCCCATGGTCCACCCGCCCTACCGCCCTGTCCATCCCAGAGGAGAAGACCCACCTTGACGTTTCTCACCCCGAGCGATTGGAACGCTAATTCCATTCCTTTACGCGGATCTAACGCCCGTGAGCAAGGACGGATCCCGGCTGTAGAGAGATCCCTCGTCTGGATTCTCTAAACGAAATCAAGCGTTTTTAGTTTACACTTTCAAGGAGTTCAAGTGATCTAAAACGTTAATTAGTCCTCCTCCAAGTGCAGTTCATAACAAGGCCCCAGCAGTGCGCGCCAGATGAACAAATTGAGAAGACCGGTAGCAATAGTTTTCCCAGTTACTTCTTATTGCTAAAAAAAAAAAACACTTCCAGATGCAATACGGACACTCGTTAATAGACGAGCCATTTAATATGAAATTGTTTTAATAAGTTTTTATTTAAACACCAAAAACACAAAAAGAGACACATATGACAGAATGCAATATATCTCCGTAATCACAATGTAACAAATCGTTGACAGACCTGCTAGTCTGATGAAAACCGGTGTCTTTTTTAATGCTGTCGAGATAGTGATCAGTTTCACCATGTTTAGAGTTTTGTAAACCGTTCTCCCTTTTGAAAAATGTAATTACTTGCAGGGCCAGCCTGAGCTTTCTAGAGCCTCTAGACAAGGTCTTGGAAGACTGCTATTGTCAGTTCCCAACACAGCCTTATTGTTCTATTAAGTTAAAAGGCTACACTTGTACTAAAATGCAACATGACCATTAATATGACCACCATCACAACCCAGATCTACAGTGTACCCAATAGTAAAATCAAAATGTGATAAAAAAAACACTTGTCACCAGAAGACTTCATCCTGTCCTGAAGATCCAGTCCTTCCAAAACTTCACAGATTAGAGCCTGATTCACTTAATCTACAACTTCCTAGTCATGAAGACCACAATACAATCACTGCTTCTCTTTCAGGATAATACATAATCTAAAATTTAATTATTTTTGGATTCCATCACAACAGGATAAAGTTTGACAGTGCAAAAAAAGTAAGAAAAAAAGCAGCTTATATATTTGGCTGAAAAAATAAGGGATTTGTAGGCTGATGTCAGTCTGTAAGAACACTACAGGAGAGAGTCACTAACAGCTCACAGCAATGAGACTCCTCTCACCATGACCTCTGAACCCAGTGCAGACCCTGCAGTGGACAGAGTCCCCAATCCATCTGTCTGTACCTTCCCTCAGCTCCCCAGTGACCCCCAACATACTGCACTGACTCTCTCCATCACCCCTGCAGTCTGTGTCCATTGTGTCCGTATTCTTTCTCCACAGTCACCTGGACACCAGGGACCTGAGGACTGACTCCATTCTGACTCCCAGGTTCCACATGTTGATCTGCTAGAGGACTGATCGCTGAGCTGCTGTCATTCTGGGCATCATCTCTCCTTGTCAGCTCATAGTCATTCTTGATCATCGTCCTTGATCTCCTCAACCAGACCCGCACTCCCAGGATCACCAGGATGACTCCAGCAGCACCAGTGACACCAGTGATCACTCCGACAGGAGACCAGTGATGAGGAGGGTCTGATGTAGGAAACACAGAGGAGACAAAACAGAGCTCATCATACCTTCAAGAAGACATGAGGAGTCTCTACTGATAGAGATACTGACCAGCAGACACACCTGTGATCTCTCTGCACAGGACAAAGAACAGTAAAAACTCTTCTACGCTCGAGAATGTCCTGGGGTTAAAAACCTCACACTGAGAACAAGATGTCAAAGTCCACAACAACACAAGCCTGTGGAGAATTTGGGGAGTTTTCCTGCACCCTCTGTCCAGTCTCATCGTTTACAGGGGAACACTTGTCACCGACAGCTCTCCTTCTGCGTGATATACGCTGGTCCTGTTGTTTCATCTTGCCAAGTTCTTCATCTGAGAGTTATGAAGACAGAGTCACATTTACTCAACAGCTATTGAAGTATTTAATCCTCAGTACTGAGGGAGTGAACAACCCGTTAATGAGAGAGATTCACACAGGTGTCATGGCAGTATGAGACAGTATGAGACAGTTAAACTAGTCTTGAACCTGTATGTCTTGAACCTGTAAGAAGTCAAACCTTGTCCAGCTGGACTGGAAGAGACTCCTTCCTCATTCACACTCCAGTTTTCTACAGTGTAAAAGCACAAGGGATACCCTTGACACCCTCCTGACCCTGGGTTACAGATAACAGTGCAGCACCCCAAAACATAGCACTCCCCCAGTACCCCAAAACAATCATCTTCGGCACACCAAAACATAATCCCACTTAGCACCCTAATATACAATCCTACTGCAGTACCCCATATCAATAAGGCTAAGTTGGATCTCTCGTCAGACACAAGCCTGATTTATCAGACCTTATATAGAACTGAAGTTCTGAAACACCTATAGCAAAGAAAAACCTAAGTCTTATATGCATTTCATTTCTGCATCATGGATCAACAACATATAGATTCTGTCATCCAGGGTCGATTACTTGAGATTCTCACCTCCCACAGTGAGGGTCACAGTGCTGATGATGTTGAAGGTCCCTCACTGTGTA